CTCCAGAACAACATAAATTTAAAATCGTACACTTCTATCACTTGATTCAGAAGTAACTCACATTACTTCCAAATTAAACAACTTTTTGGGACATTCAGGGCAATCTGTTTTCAGTTTGTGTGCAACAAAAGCAGAACCAAATCTTAAAACGCTTATTTTTCTATGATGTTTCAAAACAAATTACAAATTGTAATTGGTTTGTTGTTGGGACTGCTAAGAGTTTATATCATGTGTGTAAAAACAGAGCACCCTAGGAGTTACTAAAAATTATACAATTATATTTAACTGCGTATACGAATTTTTGGTAGTTGTATACAAGATCAAGTGACAAATCTGTGTCTTTTCTAGTCTAATGACAAAATGGAAACACGTCACACTAATTTACCATTAAGAGTCCATCCAATAAACAAGTTTTCTTTGTACAAGTATATTTTACATCGTATACATAGACGTTCACAAATACGTAAATTATATAACAATAAAAAATAAATAATAATTTCAAAAAAAAACATTAAAACGAAACGAAAGTCGAAAATGAGATATTTTTAAAATATCTAAAAGTACAGCAGCTTATTGCAATCTTAGAGAAGGTGAGACTTTTACATTACATGATTTATGACCTTGATTTAGTAAACTATGTGGTGTTGTTCTACAGAATTTAAATGGTTGTGCTGTGTTGAAAATTTGGGATTCATTCAAAGAAGTGATAACGCTTTGAAAGGTATATTCGAATAATAAAAAATATATGTAAACATAAGTTACACTATTTTAAAATAGTATAAAGTTTATATATTCTTTAGTTTATTAGACAACTTCAACATTTGGTTATAAGTAAATATCAGAAGAAATATGATTTCCATATTTAATTTGATATGAAACCAACCGTCAAGGGGAAAATAGGGATGTTTTATGGGTTATCTAAATGTTCACAGAAATAGTTAATGTAAAATTCTTTTGATGAGAACTATATTGTTTAAATATACAGGGTGATTTCACTTTAAATGCAGAAACTGCAGCTCTAGATCCATTACCAAAAAATAAGTGGAGTTTGCTCTATAAACTTTTTTCCTTCGGAACTCTGTATTCAAGATACTGGTTTACGAATAAATATATATTTTCTGCCATATCTTCATAATGCGACTTTACTCAGTAGCATGCTACTGGAGGTGCCGCCCCATTTTACCACACCCCCCAGGAAAAAATTTTATAGAGCAAACTCTACTTATTTTTTGGCAACTGATATATTCCTGCAGTTTCTGTTTTTAAAGTGAAATCACCCTGTATAAATTTAAAATATAATCATCAGATCCGTTGCGTTTGTCCTTTTACTTTTACAACAATAGTGTATTTCTACATAAAACAATTTTTGAATCCTTAAAAAAATTCTTTTCAATAATAAAGGGAGTTAAGTATTCCTTAGTTAAAAAAGATCTCTGTTGTATTTATTTTTTGGCGTCACTAAACAAATTAACAACAACAAACAAGTTTGCTTCAGGACAGTCTCAACTTGAATTAACTCGTCATTCTGAAAACAGAGGATTGAGTTGATCAAGTAGTAGCTGCGATTCTGCGTCTGTTTGGTCTTATATTTTCTACAATTCGTACGAAAACCTCCTTTTCTTTGTCTACTGTTAATACTTCCAACATTTCACTTTGGACGAAACGATCCTGTATCTCCTCTTGAACAGCTTAAAATTAGATCGTCTGTTATTTGGTATTGTAATTCTAAATACCTCGCTGCTACCCCGGCAACCACAGTAATTTTTTTGGGAATATACACATTTATCAATTTGTCATTTCAACAGACGAAAATCATTATAACAGAGCAATTCAAAAGAAAGTCACAAGGATGAAAATTACTTCGCCCGAAGTTACACAAACCATAGTCTAAAATCTTAATGTTTTGATTTAATAATTTCTTGCTGGAAACTCAGATTTTTGAAGGGCAAAAATGTTTAGACATATTTTTACAGTGACTAGTTAGAAGTTATTGCGAGTGGCCTTATTCGTAATTGCCAAACAATCATGAAAATGTATTTTTGAGAATAATCTATCCAGAGCTACTCAAAATATTAAAAGAAATCGAAAATATGGAATGAAACGAAGCAATATTCGAAAATAAGACTCAGAGATCAATAAGTCTCATCTCACTTTTTTCTGTACTTTTGCTATGAGCAATTTTTATACAGGGTATCTGCGAAAGGTTGGGAAATCTCGTAGTTGGAGATACAGGTGGCCAAAATAAGTCGATTGAGATAAATATGCCTTATGGAAATGTTGCTGGTTTTAAAGACACAGGGCGTTCAATGTTTCAATTTTATTTTGAAATTTCTCAATAATTCTGAAAAATGTCATAGTATCAACAAAAAAATTGGTACTATTGTGTTTTTTGACATGACAAATAAGAATTTTTAACTAATTTTGGCTTTCCAGTTATTTGTCCAATTAAATGAGCCATTAAATCGCAATTTTGGTCAACTTGCCTGAATTTTTGCTATGAGTTAGTTTGAGGTATATAATAACAATAAGTGACAGTAGTTTTTTTTTTTCAACCCCTGGTCAGGGGTGAAAAAAGATAAAATAAAGGGGTTTTTCAAAATAACTCATAAGGGGTAAGAGCTAGAAAAAAAATTTCTTATAGATGTTGTGGAGCATAAAATTCTACATAAAAATGGTCCATTGATTTTTTCTTATGCTATTAAAATTAACAGTTAGGGAGACTAGAAGTTAAGGGATGATTTCAGAAATTAAAAAAAATAACAAGCAGAAAAATTAATGAATTTTATAAATTTTTTTTCAATCTACTCTAAAAATTGTAAACTATGCTTTCAGAGAGATATATTTTTTATTTTTAATAAAAAAGTTGTAACAATTTCACAAAGCGAAAGTTTGTCGTAAAACAAAATTTCGAAAGCAACTTTCATTATTTTAAATAATCAATCAATGATCATAAAAATTAACAATTAAAAAATTGGAATTGTTATAACTTTTTATTAAAAATTAAAAAATATGTCTATTTCTCTGAATAGAAAGTTTATATTTTTTAGAGTATATTGAAAAAAAATATATAAAATCATTCATTTTTCGGCTTATGAAAATTTCTAGTCATCCCTTAACTTCTAGTCACCCTAATTCTGTTAATTTTAATAGTACAAGAAAGAGTCAATAGACCATTTTTATGTAGAATGCTCTACAACTTTTATACGAAACTTTTTTTCCAGCTCTTACTCTTTTTGAGTTAACTTGAAAAACCCCTTTATTTTTATATTTTTTCATTCAAAAGTAAAAATTGGTCAGATCATTTGAATATCCATTATTTTTTATTTCCTGGCTGTGGTGGAAAGCCCTAAATAACGTTCTTAAAGAACAACTTCTCCATCCATAACACATGCAAAAAGTTTAAGGTTTAAGCATAGATGACTATCCTGTAAGAATAAATTTTGCACATGGCTTTTGGAAAAGGTCACCATTGATTTTACCACCTCAATACTATTTTCCGACGAATCAAGTTTTCGTAGAGACGAAGCCATCCACTTGCATAATCTACACATTTATGCAGACGAAAACACTCATAGTATAAGGCAAAACCGCGATAAATTGCAGTTTCAAATCAATTTATGGTAAGGTATAATTGGACATAATTTAATAGGACCTGTTAAATTATATTTATTATATTATATTTATTATATTTAGAAATATTTACAGTTTCTCCAAGTACCATCCAATCTACTACCACTACCAATATTCAATCCCAATACTACCCAATCTATTAGAGGATCTTCCCTTACAAACACGCATTAATATGTGGTTTATGCACGATGGTGCTCCAAATCATTTTAGTTTAAGAGTTAGGGAATACCTAAATAGGGTTTATCCAGATCGATGGATAAGCCGGTCAGGACCACTCTCCTAGCCTCCTAGATCACCAGATTTAAATCCTTTGGATTTCTATTTATGTGGTGATTTGAAAAGATGTGTTTACGCAACTCATGTGGCAATTGAAGATGAACTGCGACAAAGGATTTTCCATCTTAGCCAGGAAATAAAAAATAATATTCAAATGATTTGGAGAGTACAGCCACCACTAATTAGACATGCTTGTGAGTGAATTAGTAAAGTAAGTAAATGCTCATTTTGAACAATTTATATACCTAGTAGATAATTAGTAATTTTTTGTCCTCAGTAGATAATTTCCTTTCTGTTTTAGTTGTTATTGTCTCTTTAAACGGTTTATCTTTTATTTTCCCTTTAAGATGGTTTTTAGAAAACTGTAAATAATTTGGTACATACACTAGTTAAGCCGTATTAGTTTAATTTAAGCAGTAAAAGTTGCTTAAAAACGAAATGTACTGAAATTTGTATATGCAAATATCTCGATAACCAAGGGAGACATCGAAAACGAACAAGAGAAACGAAGGACATTCTTTTAGGTATATTTTCAATATACAATGTCCATAATTCTAAAGGCAAAATTAATCATGTTAAAACACATAATAATATCAATTTTTTTTTGTTCATAGTCTGACAGTTTTCAAAATTATTGAGGAATTTCAAAATAAAATTCAAACATTCCTGTATCTTTGAAACCAACTACTTTTGCATAAGGCATACTTGGCTTCGACTTATTTTGTTCACTAGTATCACCAGTTTCGAGATTTCTCAACGTTTTGCAGACACCCTGTAGAAGTGAAAGGATTAAAAACTTAATTATATGGATCTTTCCTTACTTTTGAGTATTTTTTAATTTGGAGTGTAACAAAATGCTAAAAAAATAAAGAAACAAAAATCTATTTTCGGACGATATAGTTCAAGCAACTCAAAGCGTTAGATACTTCAATCGCACGGAAAATCTCTGGGTTTCATCCACCCTTTCAACACAGCCCCGCCATCGAACTGCCCCAATTAAAATCACAACAATTAATACAAATTAGTACGTCGCGGACGCATCGCCCTCTGGCGCGCAAAACAAAGTACCAGACTGAAAAAAAAGAGACAGCCAATTAATATACAGAAGCGTTATTGTGTGTGTCGTAGTTGATCTGGAGATAAGACGGGATGGCGGCGTTCAGCTCGGAGGCCCTCCGTCTGAGCGCCGCGATGCTGTGGCCGCGCCACACGTCCTCCTCCTCGCCGTTGGGGGAGGTGCCCGCCGCCACTGGCGGGGTGGCCGCGCTCGAGCACGGGATTTGCGGGGGCGGCGAGCTCCCCGTCCCCCCGTTGCCGCTGCCGGCTCCCCCACCGCTGTTGCAGTACGTCATCATGCTATCACCTGCAATGCATAAATCACAGTGAGTAAACAGAGGAGGGAATGTTGTTGCGAAAAATGCGGGGATGTGGAAAGGAAAATGTGGGATTCACGGGGGCGACGAGGGTGGTTTTTGTTTGGAGGTGCATTGTTTTAGCGAGCGTTCGAAATATGTCTGTGTGGGTTGCGAAACTGTGACAGGGTGTCCAGTGACCCCCTGGGGGGTGGATCATACAATGTTTTCTCAATAATGTCGCGTTTCTGAGATACAAGGAGTTAAAATTTGTTCTCTGAAAAAGTTTTTTTTTTATTTTTGTTAAAAAGACAAGATAAAGTACTTAAATTTATACAAAAGTAAACATAAACTGTCTCTCAAGGAAAGCTTGCAAACCATTTTATTCCCAATAGCAGTAGCGTGTATGTTGGTCGTTTGAAGGGTATAATTCAATGAAATATACAGGGTGTCCCGTGCATGTTTCAAAAAAACTTGTGTGCTAGTTCCTCATGGAAAAATAATAGGGGTAGTTCATGTAAAGTTTTTTTCTTAGACACCCTGTTTTCGAGATACAATGTGTTGAAGTTGTTACTTTCCTAATGGTTTTTCTTAATTATCTTTAAATCGGCTAAAGATAAAAATGTCAAAATTTGTACACGAGTAAACATCAACTTTTGCGTTAAGAATAATAAGAATAATGTGCAAATGGTTTCTTTCTGAAAAGCAGTGTGGCCGATACAGGTAATTGGAGGGGTACAATTGATAAAAAAAAATATGTTAAAAGTCAAAATTTATTACATTTCTAAACGGTTTTGTAGACCCTAAAGCATACTACAAAAAAGGGTATACTTGTCGAAATTCGGTAGCATGTACTATTTTCGAGAAAAATGAAGTTGCATAGAAGGAAATGAGGGACAATTTCAGTATCTACTAGTATTTCGAGTTTGCACATTTATTTATTTGTGCAGCTGTTTTGTTCTGTATGTCTCCGAGACTGTTTCCTTGTATTTTTCTGTTTTTAATCGCTTTTTTTAAGCATTCATGTCCATCAACAGTTCAGTCCATCCAACAAATGTTTATTTTAGTAATGGTAGTGTAGTAGTTTACAAAATCTAAAATTAGTTAATAATAGATAATTAATTACCATATTCTGTTTATTTTGATTTACTTTTTTAAATGTTGGTTTACAACAAATTGAAATTTAAAATAAATTTTATTTTATTTTTTTTTTTTTAGTTAATAAAATGTTTTACAATTTAACTGTTTCATGTGATACGTAAGAAATTGAAATTATAGTCTTAAATGCAGCAAATTAGTTCTGTTGGTAGCTAAATGTCTTCAGCTCATATAATGGTAAGGTCCTCTTTCAATTTAATATTTTGTTAATGTACCGCTGTATGTGAGTAAAAAAATGCAAACTTTTTTTTTTGTAGTATCCTTTAGAGTTTACAGAACCGTTTAGAAATGTAATAATCTGCACATTATTCTTAACGCACAGTTGATGTTTACTAGTATACAAATTTTGACATTTTTATCTTTAGCCGATTTAAAGATAATTAAGGAAAACCATTTGGAAAGTAACAACTTCAACACACTGTATCTCGAAAACAAGGCGTCTAAGAAAAAGACTTTACATGCACTACCCCTATTATTTTCCCATACTTGCACACAAGTTTTTATGAAACATGAACGGGACACAGGGATGGGCGGGTAGACAATGTCGACGTAGACAATGCAATTGTTTATGCGTAGACAATGATCTAGATGAAGACTTAATTTGGAAGAGTCGACAATGTAGACAATGTCGACAATGTCAACAATTAAGAAACTCTCAAAACTAGAAAAAGTTGTGGTAGGTATGTACCTCAAAAAAAGAATTTCGTAAGGCTGTAACTCGTGATTCTTGTAAAAAAAGAAAAATTGAAAATTTGGAATTTGGAAAAGTACCTACCCTATCACAACCATCTATGAAAAAAATGTATGAACCGAGTACAAAAGATCAAACAATATCTGCCGAGAATTCACGAGAAAAAAAAACTGTGTCTCACTTGATAGTTTTAGGTCAGGTCAGATTGACCAACATTTTTTTTTCTATAAAATCTCTAAATAAAGATGTGTCGCATATATTCTTTAATGAAAATTTTATCATTTTTAAAGTCAGCAAGAATAAATTTGGAATATCTGATTAAGTTTTAAAAACACTTTGTGTAGATATTTTAGTTTAGTTAGAACACGTTAATTTTATTTTTTCTAAAGGTGTTAGAGTTACAGAAATTAATAGAAAAAAATTGTATTAAATATTTCTACTAATTTATAATACGGGTAGGCACCCTTTCAAAATAATTTTTGTTTCAATCCTAGATCATATTATGTAAATATATAAGATCTAAGATTTTAATACAGATCATATAGAACTGAGCTTTTCAATAAACAATAAATGGTAACATATTTCTGTAAATATTTGCAGAGGCACAAGATAATGTTTTTTATTGCATTTTCTCAAACTAAATATTATGTGTACCTATTTATTGGTATATGTACCTCTATACATATATGAGTATTATATATATTCCCTAGTTTTCTGCTGCATTTTATTAATTCAAATCTTAACCGACCAAAATTATAATTTGCTTTACGCCCGCTCATTTTATGTTTATGAGCGCAAACTCCGTTTTGTCTACATTGTCTACATGGTCTATGTTGTTTACATAGTCTACGCGAAGTCTACTAATAGACGTGGACAATTAAAGTCGACGCGTAAACGCCCATCCCTGACGGGACACCCTGTATATTAAATGTCAAAATTTCTTAAACATCCTAACGGTTTTGCAATCCCAAGAGAAAAATATAAAAAAGACGTGTACTAGTTGAAAACTGATAAAATATATGAAAAAGTAAATGTCTTTGTCAGTTAGATTTAAAAATATTGACATGAAAAATATACTTTACTATAGCAACACAAATAGTAATAATCACAAGATATCAAACAATTAAAATGTCATTAATTTTATTTATCCACAATTACCTTATAATCGGACTTTTATCCACACATATGAACCGTCTAAAGTGATACTTTAACCACTATTGGTATAAAGTAACCTTATTTCACTAGTAGAATTACTTATTTACATTAACATTTACATTTATAGTAATATAATAAACATTTCGTTTTTTGTTTTATCACATTTAACTTCCTTTCTGTTAGTAACAACCTTTGTAGCATTGTTGCCGTCATTTTCGGAACACATAAAATCTGTCGAAGTATGTGAAGAATTTGTACAAGTTACGGATGTCTCTTCTTGTAAGGAACAGTTATATTTTCCTTGAATTTTCCTTGCAATATCAAGTTTGTTAGATATATTCCTCAACATAACTTTTTACTACAGAGGAGCTCTTCCATCCACCATGCCGTTTGATGGTTGTAAGATCAGCACCTTTATTGGCTAATAAAGTTGTTGAAGTGCGCCTCATACAATGGACAGTACATGCTTCTGGATTTGCGGTATTCAAGAATGAAGCAACTATTGAGGGTACCTTCGCCAATGTGTTGATTCCAACAGGCTGAGAAGTACATTTTTGACTGATGTATCTTAAAAAGAATCTGTCTCCTGTTAGGCGAATTGGGTGCAGGGAAATATATTTTTTGCATAGTTCAACAGCATTCAAGCAAACTCCTTCTTTAATTTGTATACGAACAATACGGCAATTACTGTGTACCTAAGTTATTTACTTAATAACTTTGGTCTCATAGTAACCGCAGACGACCTGATAAAATTATTATCATTATAACAATATAAAAATAAATAGCTTTGTTTGCTATTATGATAAAATTAAAATTGATCGGTGAAAAAATTGTGTTTAACTTGGCAGTAAGGTAAAGATTTAATGCCTTGGCTGCTTTAATAGACTCGGCTGCGCCTCGTCTATTAAATACCAGCCGCGNACACGTTAATTTTATTTTTTCTAAAGGTGTTAGAGTTACAGAAATTAATAGAAAAAATTTGTATTAAATATTTCTACTAATTTATAATACGGGTAGGCACCCTTTCAAAATAATTTTTGTTTCAATCCTAGATCATATTATGTAAATATATAAGATCTAAGATTTTAATACAGATCATTTATAGAGCTGAGCTTTTCAATAAACAATAAATGGTAACATATTTCTGTAAATATTTGCAGAGGCACAAGATAATGTTTTTTATTGCATTTTCTCAAACTAAATATTATGTGTACCTATTTATTGGTATATGTACCTCTATACATATATGAGTATTATATATATTCCCTAGTTTTCTGCTGCATTTTATTAATTCAAATCTTAACCGACCAAAATTATAATTTGCTTTACGTCTGCTCATTTTATGTTTATGTAAAAACAGCCAAACAGAAAAAGTTGAGTGATGAATTGAGTACAGCACAAAATAGATCATACGTAAATGTAACGCAAATATAATATAGGTTAGATTAAACTGAAATTAGAGCGCAAACTCCGTTTTGTCTACATTGTCTACATGGTCTATGTTGTTTACATAGTCTACGCGAAGTCTACAAATAGACGTCGACAATTAAAGTCGACGCGTAAACGCCCATCCCTGACGGGACACCCTGTATATTAAATGTCAAAATTTCTTAAACATCCTAACGGTTTTGCAATCCCAAGAGAAAAATATAAAAAAGACGTGTACTAGTTGAAAACTGATAAAATATATGAAAAAGTAAATGTCTCTGTCAGTTACATTTAAAAATATTGACATGAAAAATATACTTTACTATAGCAACACAAATAGTAATAATTACAAGATATCAAACAATTAAAATGTCATTAATTTTATTTATCCACAATTACCTTATAATCGGACTTTTATCCACACATATGAACCGTCTAAAGTGATACTTTAACCACTATTGGTATAAAGTAACCTTATTTCACTAGTAGAATTACTTATTTACATTAACATTTACATTTATAGTAATATAATAAACATTTCGTTTTTTGTTTTATCACATTTAACTTCCTTTCTGTTAG